GGGGAGGAGTCTGGCAGACGCGGTGAGGGGCGTGGGGGGCTAAGCGGGGGCCCGTGGGTGTGCGGGTGGGGTACAGAGGGGTGTGCGCTGTGGGACCGGAGGGCCCAGGAGGGCTCGCACGGCTGCGGGAGCGAGGTTGGGCCCTGAGTAGGGATGTTCACCCGGGGAAGGCCAGAGGAGGAACTTGCGGGGCGGGGAGCGGTGGTCCCGTGAGGATGCCTTGGGGGAGATGCTGGGTGAGGGACGTCCGGGGGCGGGGACCGAGGAGTCTGGGACGACGGCGCGGAGAGCAGCGGTGTGTAGAGGTAGAGGCTGCTAAGGAGTGGTCGCTTACACACGGAGGCGGTCCGCCAAGGGGTCCCAGGCGCTGGTGTGAGGAAGAACCCGGGGGCGTGTGGGGCGGCAGAGGGGTTCCAGAGTGGGAAGAATCCTGGAGGGCCCAGGAGTGAGCGGGAGTCAAGAGGGGGCGTCTGTGGTCGGGGCTGGGGGCTCCGAGCGTGGGGTGCCGGCAGAACCCGCATCCGCATTGGGCCTGAGAGCCTGCGAGCCAGGCGGCGGGTCCTCGAGGACCAACCTCCTGGCACGTGGGGGTGTTGGCGTCGAGGGGGGCCCGGGCAATGGGCATTTCCGGGTGCTCTGCAATAAGAGGGGGTGGAGGAGCCGGTCGAGGGCTGAGGAAAGGAAGGGGCCTGTGGCGGGCCGAGCTGGGCAGGGACTGTGCTTCTGAAGAGCAGCCAGCCACTGTCAGGCCTGGAGCGGCGGCCAGAGCGCATGCATGACGGGAAAGTGCCCCTTCAGCCTCGGAGGGTCGGAGCCCTTTCGCGCCAGCGCCTTCGCGTTCCAACTTGGAAGCCACACAGACAGGGGGCGGGGCAGTGCCGCAGGAGGGCGGGTCCGAGGGCGGAGCGGAAGTACTCGCGCGCGCTCTCCACCGATCAGGCGGATTGGGGAGGGCCCGCGGAGCGTGACGTGATAGGCAAGAATGAGTGGGCGGACTGGGGCGTAGAGTCGTACCTCCCCGGCACGGGTTGCGCGCGCACTTCAGGCCTTGTAGGCACTTCAGGCCTTGTAGGCACTTCCAGCCCCGTAGCGACTTACAAGGGGTGACTCTGGTAGGTCCTTTCTCGTTCTTCCACGACTCCTGGAGCCCGGAGCTGGTTGCAGCCAGGTCGCGTGCTCACCGGGGGAACCAGCGAACCTCTCCAAAGTTTTAAAGTACACTGCGGGAAAAGCCCTCTGGCCAGGGACAGCCTGCAGACCTCACCGGTCTCTGCACCAGGTGGAGCCCAGTGAAGGCCCCGGTGTGGGAGACATCCCTGGTACCGGGCTCCTGTGGCTAGGCAGATGGGAAAGCACTTCAGGGGAGCTGCTCTAAAAGGTAGTTGGGCAAGCTCCACAGGCCCCAAATCCAAGACCTCAAGTGACATCCTGGCCCTGTGCGTTTGGGCGGGTCCTGGTGCCAGTTGCCTCGGTGTGTGCTCATGCATGAGTATCTGCTCTTCTCACGGCACCTTTGGGACCCCAGTGGATTGCCTGGGGTAGCCGAGACGTGAAGAATGAAGTAAAGTGCCCTTTTGGTTAGGAAGGCACGCCCTAGAGTATGTAGCCCAGGCTCTAGGACATGCCCTGCCTAACCGTCCCAAGTGCAGACCAGATTAGGGCCCCATGGCATCCAGGGCTACACTTGTCCCTACTTCTAATGCTCTTCACATTTGTTATGAGGGCATGGCTGGCCCAGGGCCTGGTGAATTTTAATGTTCTCTGAATTCAACTTTTTAAAAACTGCAGAATTCTAAGGGGTCAGAGGGATCTTTCAGAGAAAGCTGTTTAGGGAGACATGTTTCTCCTATAGTTCTTAGTATATAACCACACAGAGCAGTATCCTTGCTGCCTGGTTGTTGTAGCATCCCATTAGTCAGGGCAAGGTGATGGGAGCATTTGGACTCACCCATCCACATGCTTGAGGCCTTGATATGTTTTGGGTGGGGGACTTCCAGAGGTTCTGCTCACTTAGTTGAGGCTGGGAAGGAGCTCGGAGCTCAGAACTCAGAGGTACACGGCCAAAGAACATGATTTCCCTACACAGAACCTCTCCTGTCTGGCCTTTCCTGGAAGAATGACTCCCCAGGACCCTCCAGTAACAATCCTTCACTGTCCTCAGCTTCCTCCTGAGATCACCTCTAAAAAGAAAAAAAAAAAAAAAACGGGTGCCTGGGTGGCTCGGTTGAGCGGCTGCCTTCAGCTCAGGTCGTGATCCCATGGTCCTGGGATCGAGCCCCACGTCAGGCTCCCTGCTCGGTGGAGAGCCGGCTTCTCCCTCTCCCTCTGTCTGCCGCTCTGCCTGCTTGTGCTCTCTATCTCTGTTAAATAAATGGATAAAAATGTATAACTTTGTAGCATTAAAAAACAAAAACAAAAAGCAATTACCTCACCCAAGCCTTTGTATCAAGCTCAGGTAAAAAAACAGCTTGCTATCTTTTAAGTCCTTCTTACCTTCCATATTTTGTTCATTTAAAGATTCAACTTATTATTTATTTCATAAATATCCATAGAAATCAAAGAGAAAAACCACCCACAGCCCTATCACCATCCTCAAATCAATCTATTTTTCTACATTTCTCCCTGTCCTTGCCAATGTGTTGACATAATCTTATGTAGCTATAAAAATATCATGGTTAAGGGGTACCTGGATGGTTCAGTCCTTTAAGCATCTGCCTTCGACTCAGGTCATGATCCCAGGGCCCTGGGATGGAGTCCTGCAATCTGCTCCCTGCTCAGTGGGGAGTCTGCTTCTCCCTCTCCCTCTGCCCCTCCCCTCTGCTCATGCTCTCTCTCTCTCTGTCAAATAAATAAAATCTTAATATATATCATGGTTAAAATTATAGGGTGAGTATTTTTCCATGTGGTGACATAATCATTTATAACTACCATAATAAATGATTGCATAATACCTCACTAAATGAGTCTTAGATAAGGTAGTATCTTGGTTTGACAGATGACGGAAAGATTCAAGAATTGCCACTGGTTCAATTGATTAGTCATGAGAAGAAAATACATTTATCTTAGTCTTTACAGCGTATCAGGATGGATCAAATAATTAAATACAAAAATACATAAATAAGTATAACAAAGCAAAGTAAATGCTTTTTAAATGTTGGATGGGAAAAGGCTAAGAGTGACAAAAATTACAAAGAAATACAGATATGACAAAGGATAAGATTGATACATTTGGCTACCTTTGTTCTTTCAACAAACATTTATTGAGTGCCCACTATATGTGTTAGGTTCTGTTCTAGACAGGATCTCAGAGTTGTCTGAAATGAGGGTTAAGGAACTAGGCTGTCATACTCTCACTTGTCAGTTAAAGCTATGGACTGTCCCTGTGAGGGAGGGGGGCTTAAAGTCCCCAGGCACATTGGGCTCTTGGGGAATGGGAGCAAAACAGTTCCAGTGATCTGAGGACAGGTACCAGCCACTGGAGGCCAAAGCACATCAAGTCCCAGGGAGGGATGTCCAGAAACAGTAAAAGAGATTGAAGGGGTCTGAACAGAGCACCATAATGTGGTTTGAGTCACAATTCCCAAACCATTATCATGTAGTGTCCTTGTACCATGTGTGCTATTTAATGTTTTTCTTTAAATTAACTTAATTTTTATTTAAACAGAAAATTAGTGGACAACATTTTTTTAAGAGACAAATGGAGAATGTAGGAAGAATCACAACCCCAAAAAGGAAGCGCTGCAAAGAGTGGGGGGCGGGTAGAGATTGGGATATAAAGGGCAGGCGGACATGCCCCTAGAGCTGGCAAGCCTGGCCCCACGAGGCCAAGGACAGGAGCAGGTAGGAAGAGAGTATTGTCCGGGGCAGCCTGGCCTGGAGTCTCTGGGGTGGAGCTCCAGTGTGGGAGGGGACAGTCAGACCAGAGGTGGGGGATGGGGTGAGAATGCTCCTGGGGTATGGAAGAGGCTACCCTTGACAAATGGACACTGGGTATAGAATGGACAACTAGGGAGGAGGCAGCACAGAATGAGTGTCCCAGGTATAGGGAACAGCGGCATGATTTCAGGCTTAGAGGCCAGAGAGAGCAAGCTCAGGGAGAGGTCCACAGTGGTTGGAGTTGAAGGATCCAGTGATGAGCAGGGCTCACGTCAAGCAGAGCCTTGTAACTCAGCAAAGGTATCGGGGATTTCTTACTCTGGGGGCTGGAGGAATGACATATTCAGATATGTGTTTAGAAAGTTCCTACTGACTAGCAGATTGGGTCAGAGGCAGTGCAAGCAGCAGGGAAACCCATGGAAGATGTTGCATTAATCCGGGGAAGAGATGACGGCAATGCTCTCTGGACTTGCCATCCCCAGCCCTGCTCTCCATCTTTGAATCTCTGTCAGCTTTCTCCCCTCTCTGTGGGCATCTCAGTCTCGGGTTTTGTGTTTGTTACTTAGTTTCTATCTCAGTGCCGGGTTTTCTGGTCTTTCTCTGATTCTAGCTGCATGTGCCTCTGACTCAGGGCAGCAAGTCTTATTGGGAAAGGAATGGAAGTAGAATCTGGGCAGAGATTCCTGGGGGTCAGTCAAGTGGATACAAACCTGAGCCC